ATGTCGGTGCAGGTGGAAGTGGCCAAGAGAGTGAAAAGGGCACATGCAACATCTGGGATTCTTTGAGATTGTCTTTTTTGTTTCAGTCGTATGTTGCACTTATAGGTCAAAAATAATGAATGCTATTTTTATTTTTAAAAAAAATGTGTTTCGCAGGTATGTTGTACATATGGGTAAAATGACTTGGGCCACGTCGGACAGTACACACACTGTACCTTCCTGATCATTGTCAGGAAAGTGTAGATAACAAGTAAAAAAATATGGTAAATACCTTTCCTGTTGATTCGCTGTACCCAAATGTTGCGTAGATGGCTGTTCTTCGGAAAGCGATTCCAGGACACATGCTTGGCAGTGAGAGTGGTGTGGGCACAGCCCGGTACACAGCAGGTTGTACCGCCCGTCATGTGGCTTCTGAGGGTGACCTAAGAAGATACTACATTCAGCTGACATCTCGAATAGTGAAATAAATAAGTGAAGTGACCATCAGTTTCAAAGTTGCAGTTGCTGACATAACTCGCTTGCTAAGGGCCCGCTCAACTCACAACCGCTGTTAAGAGCGATTGTGAAGCTATGCGATGTACTACATACGCATACCAGCCGCGACGATGAATCACCGGCGCTCGCGGACGGTCAGCGAACGCGAGAAAAGTGACGCCGCGCGGACGGTTGTTGACGAGCGCTGCCGAGGCACGCCGACCGCTGGTACAGCTTCGCAAGCGTCCGAAGGGCAAAAAGATCGCAACGACAAAGCACCGTCCCGAATGTTGAGCACGCAAGCAGTACTCGATATCCCACGCTCACATTTCACAGGGCGAGCGCATCACGAAGCGAAGGCATGTCGGCCTTCGCTTCGTGATGACTACTTTATTTCTCTGCTTACAGCGGTGACATTTGTAGTGATGTTCGAAACTGCTCTCTCGCGACCGCACACGAGTTAAATGAACGGCCTAGGAGCGGGATAGAGCGTAACGGCAACAGTCAGTACTCACCCCGGGAGCGGCGAACGAAGCGGCGTGGTGTCCGTCGACGGCCGCGTCGAAAACGATGGAATATGCACAAAAACACGTAATATACAGAAGAAATACAAAGCGCTGAACGAAATAGATACACTTATGAACAAGAAAAATACACTGGAGTAGATAAAAAAGAGGATTATTAAGTATAAACAACGAAGATGAAAAGTATGTCTAGAGCGAGGTGATGCGATTCCAACGGAGAGCAGCCAGACGACGGGGGCCGACAGAACACCGATCCCAAGATTCCTCGCGCGCGCGCCGGGGCGCTTGGGAGGACTGCAAATGGTCTATTCGACTTGACGCAGTGAGACACGTGACGTCACCGGGTCACGTGACACATGTACACCTCGTCCGCTTGACGCGCAAAGAGCACCATCTTCACTGCATTCGACCATATTATTTATACAAGAAAACTCGCTGCTAGCGTATTTATTTCGCACCCCATTTGCTCTGTCATGCCCTGTACAAACACAGTTAAAATCGCCCCGAAAATAAGAAGTCGATCAGTTTGAACATACTTTCAAGGTGCTCAAAAAATACTCCGCCTTAGTTGGGTCGTATGTACTACGTATACAGCACCCCGCCACGAACGCGGCAATATCGCCTATCCTACGTCCAGATGCAGCCGACGCCACCAGCTGATGGGACCAATCAGACAACATCAAAGCGCACCATCATGGTGTTCCTAATGTTTCTGTACGTGTTTTATCAAAGCTGAATCTATTATCCACAGAAAAAGGCTTAGTGACTTGCGCTTTTGACGCTGCTTGATTGGTCCATTAGCTCGTAGCGTCGGCTGCGTCTGGGCCTAGGCTGACACGAAGTATAGAAACTATCGCGTATACGGCATTTACACCACGTCCGAATGCAGTACATTAAATTTATTACAGTTATATCATGTACAGGGTGTCACGAAAGAAAATTTACACGGTCTTTTTTACCGCAAAAATAAACTAGGCATCGCCGAACGCTCATTCTCCGCCCAAAGGAAGAGCTAGAGGTCACAACCAGATGCCAAAGTTTCAGCCCGATCCGATAACTTAATCGAAAGTTATAAGTGATTTTCTGAAAAGTTCAATGGGAAAATGGAGCCCATTTTTGCCCGTTTTCGGTTTCTGGTGCCATAGAGCCCCGTGTGTTTGAAAACTCCGTCGGCCGCCATTTTCCGATTGAAATTTTCAGAAAATCACTTATAACTTTTGATTAGGTTATCGGATCGGGCTGAAACTTTGGCATCTGGTTGTGACCTCTAGCTCTACCTTTGGGCGGAGAATGAGTGTTCAGCGATGCCTAGTTTATTTTTGCGGACCGCGTAAATTTTCTTTTGTGACACCCTGTATACAGGGTGCTTTTTTTTTCATGTCGTTACTTAAAAATCTGTTGAGGCTACACTGATGCAGTAAAATCACATGCGTTACAGTACGACTAGGGGGACAATATATATGGGGCTAATCGTCACGATAAGTTGAATAATTAACTAAAATTTGTCGAATAATTTTAATAAAAATAAACACACTGTCCAAATTAGAAACTTGGAGAGCGTCATCGAAAACCACTAAATTAGTAAATTCGAGAAAGAATCGCAGCACATGACAAACGCGATGCTGCGCTAAAGTTCCCACTCGTGCAAGAGGCGCAAGGCTGGCGGTGGAAAACCGTGAATGGTAATTTCATCATCCGCGCCCACCATGTCAAATCATCAAAAATCAACGCATACAGAATAGCATCGTCTCAAAATGGCGATGGTCCCGTTTTTACGCATTCGTTCATCTTTTGAAATTGGGGCACTCGCGCCCCCCCCCCCCCCCCCCCCCCCCTCCCCCCGGGGTGGGGACCTTTTTGACGCCAACCCAGTTCCCAACTAAAGGCGGAATATACAATTCAGATCCCTCGAGCCCATCCTGGTACTATGGCTAATAACTCCAAAGCGAATTCCTTTTTTCGAAAGAACGGTGTCAAAGTGAGGATGGTTCGGCAGTTTTTACGCATTCGTTCATCTTTTGAAATTTGGGTACCCGCGCCTCGCCAGTGAACCTTTGGAGGACAACCCAGCTCCCAGTTAAAGACAGACTATGAAATTCAGAGCCCTCGGGCTCATCGCGTTACTATCCTATGGCAACTACTCCAAAGTGAAATCTTTTTGAGGAAACCGATCCCAAAGGGGGGATGGTTAGGCTGATTTTAAACATTCGTTCATCTTTTGAAATTTGGGCACACGCGCCTATCCAGGAACTTTTTTAAGGTCGGCCAAGACGTTAGCTGGTGATGAAATACAAAATTTAAGTCCCTCGGCAATAAGCTGCTACCATCACAATTGTTTTATAATGAGCCATATTTGTGTAAACTTGTCTCGAAGTGGACATGATTTGACTATTTTCAGGCATTCGTTCATTATTACAAAGTTCGGGCACCCGCGGCTCATCCAGGAATTTTTTTTAGATCGGCCGAGTTCTTAACTGTTGACGAAATACACAATTTAGAGCTCTTGACTACATGCTGCTGCTATCAGAAATCCTCTTAAATGAGCCATGTCTGAGAAAGGTTGTCTCGAAGTGAACATAGTTCGACTGTTTTTAGTCATTCGTTCATCATTTCCTATTCGGGCGCCCGCGCCTCATCCAGGAACGTTTTGAGATCGGCCGAATTTTTTATGATGACGAAACACAAACTTGAAGGCCGCCGAATATAAGCATCTGCTATTGCAAAATCTTGGGCTTCAGCCCTCTTGGAATAATGTGATATCAAGTCGGATATTTCCATACGCTCTTTACAAAAATATTTTCTTTCTTTGTGTGTGTTTAGCGCAATTGAGATAATTAATTTAATATAAATATTTAGTACGTTCCTAAATACTATTTTCGACATCAGAACGTTAATTTCACAAGAATGATCATCCTCTCATAAATCGTTTATTCACAACAGTGCTTGCATTCCTTACCATAAAAAAGTCACTGTTATAATGACATAGCAATACTAATTAAAAATATTTTTTGAAACCTTTTTTTATAATTTTATATTTTCCTAATACACACAGTTGTGTTTTTGTTTCTAGCGAATTTATGTCAGTAACAGAACACTGGAAATGATCGTAAAGGTCTAACTTCTAGAATGAGATCGCCTTATTTGGCAAATTCGTATCAGAAACCCAAGAAAATCAATTTGAGAAAAAAAATGTATCCAGCACATTATCGATTATTGCGATTTACTGTAGTTTAATGGCAAATCTTCTATTTTTCTTCGTTTTTAAATTTCGCTTGTTCAAACTTCTTTGTTTCTCAAAACTTGGTGTGAGCTGCCTTCGAAATATATTTTTTTACAGATATAATACAGATCTTAGGTACTTCAGATTTTACCGTAATATTTGGGAAGGATCCTAGTTAATTTATATATAAAACAATTTGTTTTTACCCAAGAATAAACTATACACTTCTATTAACTTGGATACTATCCGTAGTGGCAATATATCAACAAGTTTATTCGACTGAGGAACCTGCAGTTTACACGTCATCATCTTGAGATTTTGGCACAAAAAAGCGGTATATGATAGAATAGAGTACTAGCATATGGCAAATTGTTCAAAGCGTAACGTTTCGCCGTCGTGGCCGTATTTGTTCATAAAATACATGAACTTCTATGGGAGCGCTGCCGTAACCTGCCAAGAAATGGCGCAAGCATACAATCGCACAAATATCTGGGGATGATGACTGAGTGCCGCCCCCTTCATACGCGCCAGTGAATATTGTTACTCTCCGCGACTCAAAAACTGTATTTGGGGGCGAAATTGAAGTCAGTAATGAAATGGTGCCCAAAATAGCGTTGAATTCAAATTTGAGATTTCGTTACTTGTACGTTTTTTTGTTTTTTGTTTTTTTTTCTGAAATTTAATTGGATGCTTAAGAATGGTGCAGCCAATATACGATTCGCGATCCGACTTGGAGCATTCCTCGAAACTAATCGGCCCATCTTCTCTCGTTTTTTCAGGGTGACATGGACAACCTCGAAAAAAAAGCGGTGTTCCTGACAGTGCACGACATCGGAAATAATCGTAAGTGTTAGACTGCTCGACTGAGGTCAGCGGGTCAGCCTGAGACTGAATTCGCCGACTTCACAATAATCTAGTCCAGGGGTAGCCAGGCTGACCCGGCCTAAGAGCCGCAAACGGAACCACGATACTTCTAAGAGCCGCGGGGGGGGGGGGGGGGGGGGGGGGGGTCGAATTTAAATTTTGTTTAGCGTCTGACTGTACGTATGAGTGCACAAGGCTGTACAAATGTATACGTATGGAGGTACAAGGCTGCCAAACCGCGAGCCGTACTTTCTTCGGCCTGAAATCCCTTCTTTTTTTCCTGGGGAAACGCAGAAAGGGGCGGGAGGGGGGGGGGGGGGGGGCCTTACAAGGGATTTGCGAGCCGCACTTGGACCAGCAAAGAGCCGCATGCGGCTCGCGAGCCGCGGTTTGGCCACCCCTGATCTAGTCGAACGTATGCGCCCAGGGAGCAACTCTACATGGGTCCAGAAGGTTGCTTAGATCCATGATTTATAGACCAACGAGCACATCTCACGTCACGCTCCAGTGGTGACGCTGCTATCGGCACGGGGCCTGCGCAGGCCCTTCTCCTCACTCGGCTTTCTGCGCACGCTCATTTCAAAACTGCTGCACGTTGCTTTCGCATTGTATTCACAAAAGTAGGCCAATATGTTATATATAAAACGATACTACGACAAAAAACAACAACAACAACAACAAAAAACAGGACATACGCATGTTGAATTTACATCTGTATCGTTAATGTATAACAGAGCAGCACTCTTTGAGAAAAATATAAAGAGAAGAAAGGGGCGGTAGGTAACATTGTGCCTGGTATGATGCCGGAGGGCGCGGACCGTCAATATCGAACCGTAAACATGGGTTTCGGTCGTGGGATGGGAAACGCCCGTCCAAGGACTCTGCACGTTCGCTCGCGTGACGTTCGTGTCTGCTCCTCTTTGGTTTCATTTTTTAATGAATAGCTCTTCCTCTTCCTTCTTTTAACGGGCTGCCGGCAGGTCCCCGACCCTAGAAGTGGCCCCAAACTGTTCCCGTCTTCTTTTTCTCAATTTTTTTAATCGATAACAACCACATGGAGGAAGCCTCACATTACCTCATATCGAAAAAGACGCGCACTTTTTTGTCTTCTAATTTACGTGACGTCACAGAAACGAACAATGAGAAGGAAAGGCCTTTGGCCACCTGGTCAGCCATTCGAGTACGTTGCATTTGCTTCTCGTGCTGCGAGTCCGTTGCCTCGATTTCGGGGCTTCCACCTCTTTCGAAGCGGAGCTTGAACTCGGACTATCGGACAGATAATGTGTTGCAGGTCGTGAACCTGTTCAGTTCTCCGATTCTTTTTTCTTTTAAGTGCGTTAGCTTTGATTGCTTCGGTGCATGCAGCCGTCTTTCGTTTGGACGGTCGTGGTTTGGACTGGACTGGCTTTGTGAGGCCGTGTAGAGGTTTCCGCCGTGCCCTTTCGCTCCCTTCGTTCGCTGGTTACTTTCACTTTCCCACTTACAAGAATTAGAGTCTTCTGGCACGCTTTCCGTGACTCACTGTGGTAGCGGGAGAGGTAGGAGGTTGTGGTTGGGCTGCATCCGAAAGCGCCGACGCCCTGGAGAACAGACTGACTCCTCAAAGACAACAATGTGCGGAGTCTGAACCCCTGAGTCTGAACCCCTGCGCTAAATGATAACGCATTTCGTCGAGAATCAGCGAAGCTAAAGCAGCGATTTCGGCGTCTTATTCTTATTTGTGTAGTTTTATCCCAGTTTTGTTCGATACATCATCTAAGTTTTCTATGATATTTCAACGGCATACAGATCTTTGGTTGCGATTATCTTTAGGATGCTGGTCCCACAAGTGGTTAGGCCGTTTCTTTCTGAAACGATTTATAAACAACAAAACGGTCACGGTCAGCGAGCGTAGCACATTTCGGGACCAATACCCACAGCTCACCGCAGCTTGGTCCTACCGACAAATCCTGTGGTACGTAGAATTCATTCTTGGTGTGCGGAGGCATTCCTGGCGTAACACCCGGTGCATCTCGCAGTCTCTCTAAATCTAGCGGGTGAGCGTGCGCTTTCTCGTCACACTTTCGCACCGGGGAAGAGAAGGGAGAAGAATCGAGCTTAGGAACGTTTTCTACTTCCAAGTTATTCAGCAAAGAGTTCTAGAATCTTCTCGGCGGGCGTTTGTGCTTTCATATAATGAACTTGTGCGTAAATATGGCGTCTCTTATTTACATGATATTAACTACAATCGCTCGAATGGGTACACGTAGAATCTCTCGACATACTACAGAAAACTAGAGCCTTTTTCTTAGGGCAGTCTGATCCCGCTGAAAATGTCTTCTTCAAACGCGGCATACAAGGGCAAAATTTTTAAGTTCGCAGTCTGGCAATTTTTAAAAATGAAGACAGTTATAGCTACTCAGCGCACAACTCTCATGAGCCACCACGGTGCGGGCCGACAAATGGAAATGGCATTAAAGAAGGAACGCAGGAACGCTTAGTCAGTGAATTACAGGTACGTTAATAAGTCTGAAGTTTTAATCCCTTTCATTGGTCAACCGAACATCGGCCTCCGGCATCCCCTCGCCTTCTGCTTGTCTTCTGGCCAGCCTCACCGTAAATGGATGATCCCCCGATAACGCCTTCGTTTCCAGCGTAACTTTCATCGCGTTTCTTTAGTTCAATGTCGCATTCGGTTCCTAATGATCTTCACTGCAATTCCATCAAATAAGCACGAAAGTCGTATGTTCTGACACCCTCGCTATGGCCGCCGTGGAGCCTGCATCGTGCACTCCCCATCATATTTGATCAGTAACACCATGCCGAAGAAGACGAAAAAAATTAATAAAATAGCGTTGGTGTTGTCAGGGAGATAATAACCAAACAAAAATCAAACAGGGGCAAGTGATGTGCATTCCAGGCGCCCAAAACTTGGGACGGCATGGGTATACGCAGAAAACGTGTGGAGCCGGGCGCAACCCGGCGTTTTAATTGCAACAAGGCGCAATTTTGTTTAGTTTTCGTAGCGACAATGAAGGCGTAATAGCAGGTCAACATTTTTTTTTTTTTTTTTTGAAGACCTGCAAAACCGCTTTTTGAGTCAGTGATGGCTGGGGCCGAACGTTGGCGGAAGGGCCCATGATGACGAGCCGGGGGACGCATCGATCGGCATGATGATCGGCTTCTATTTCATAAAACGAGCTAACCAATTTATTTAGACATAACACCAGGGACTGACTTGCCAACGCTCAGAGGAAGCAGCTGCCAAGCGCGGCAGAATTTGGGGGGGGGGGAGGGGGCGTGGGGGCAAGTTTCGGTAGATATCTAGTGCCGTCGATCCTGCTGAAGCTCTGACCCTGCCCCACAGTGCGAATAAAGCAGGACCAACTCCAAAATTTTCATGCAAAGCGAATTGCACGAATAATTATCTATTTTTGCGTCTGACGTCCGGAAAAAAGTGAAAGGGGGGCGGCAGTTTGAAATAAATTTTAACAATAACCAGATTCCGAGTTTCTGCACCGTTAAACATGAAAAACGTTCATGCCATGCAAGGAGAAAAAGGTATACTCCATTGCTTTGTGGGAGCCAACATATAGGTTAGACGGACAGGTGCACAAACCACCGACACCCATAACATTACAGTGAAGTTTCCTGTGCCTCACGTGATTCCTATCATCCCACAGTCACGCACGCCCTTTACTGCACAAATTGCAGGCCCCGCTTTAAAAAAAAAATAATAATATTTTTTTTCTTTTTACAGCTGGGCTGTGAAGGGCTAGTTTCCCCTAGTATCGTGTGCGCCAGCAAACAAATGATGACACAAAACTCTGAACAGCTACCGCCATCTATAAACGACGGCGATAACCAGACAAGCGGCTTGCCGGGTGTCTGGTTGCCGCCGCCGATCATAGATGGCGGCAACCTTTCCAGCCTTTCCACTCTGGCTTGCCGACTTGCGGCCGACGAATACTTCATTCCCACCATAGTACAGCTTCGCTGGTCTTCCTTCTTCACCAGAGTGGAAAGGCTGAACGTTTTTTTTTCCCTTTTTTTGGGGGGGAAGAGGGGGGGGGGGGCATAACAGCAGATACGGCCGGGAGAATATAGTCATTCGGCCATGAATAGCACAAATAACAACGTTTCTAGTCCCTCTGTTTCCGACGAAGACTGAAGTTAAATTTCTTAAATCAGAGATGACTCTGTCGACCTGACTGCATTTTATCTTATCGTCCTCTCTCCTCCTTCCTCTCTTCTTAGTTACTTTCGCTTTCCTCGATTTTTCCGCACTTAATCGGTTGCCCGCTTTGGGAATTTCTATTCGCGACTCCAGCGACCTATAGGGGGCGCCACTACCAAACAAACATGGCGGCTGAGTCCAGGTCGCGTCGGCTCGGCCGGGCCGCCTGAACACATGGCGCGTTCAATTTAACAGATTTTCTTTTGTTTAATGCCCGATTTTATAGGTATTTGAACTGAGACGGTTAAGTGTAGCCGGTGCACATAAACTTGCAGAGCATAGTTTTGTTTTCCAACTGTGTTTTTTGTTCCTTTCATGTCAAACTTTTGTTCAGGAGATTTCGTTCAAAACCGAAACTATGGGCTCTGGAGAGACGGTAATATACTAATCAGTTTTGATTATCTAAGGAAAGCGGCAATGACTGCAGAATTCTCCCACCGAGAGTAATTTTCAGCCAACTCGCATGCCTCGACCATGCGACTTATCTGACTGCGAAATCGGGCTTTTGTGCGTATCCGCGTTTGAGAAACAGCTTCAGTCGTCTGCTCGGTCAACAACACAGGCTGCAGGAAAATTACGAAAATTAAGCAAGCTCTTCTTGAGCCAAGGAGCATGTTAACCCGCCGGCGCCCCACTAAGCAGCTGATACTCGTATTTCAATTCAGGTTTTAGTAGCAATCAAGAAGTCATTTTGACCGAGCGAGTTGAAGATATGGATCAACCAAAAGCACGTGGACACATTTGGCGGGTAAACAAAGGCACG